CTGTGAAACCAAGAACCAGCAGAACAAGAACTAATTATACAGGACTGAATGAAACGAAGAGGGAAATCTCGCTGTGTTTTCTGGAATACTTTTAATGTTCTATTTTCTGGATATGTAAGGATGCTTTTTCTCTTACTTTCTATGCTATCTCCAGCCTACAATTAGTAAACTCCACTTTTATAAGCTAACTTAAAACATTTAAAAATGATACCAAATTCTCAGTGAGCTCCCAAAATTAAAAAAACTGTTACTGAGTGCCCTTAATTTTCATCACAAAATAGTTATATCACAGGTTCAGTTAAAATCTATCTGCAGGATATAACTGAGCAACCAAGCCCTTACCTAGAATATAATATTAGAGAATGATGCTCATTGAATCAGATATGACCAGCCACAATAAGAACTAATCGAGTCAATGCCTGCAAAGCTCTCCCAGGACACTGGCCTGGTACGTGGTTTTGCAGCATCCCGGCCCCACAGGTGGTAAGATAGCTTCCAGGACAGGAACCTAGCACATGTTGGAAACCTTGAGGAATTCAATGAAGGATATAAATACTGTGAGTGAAATAAATAGGGCTGATTTGACTTCCTAGTCATGGGGTAGAAAAGCCTAATACAAGATTCCTTATAAAAACTTCCAGGCAGAAGTTAATTTTGTGGGCTTACTAGCTGTTTAATACTGTATGACTGTATATTTGCAAAGAAAACCAAGACGGCCAATACAGTAATTAACACTCTTTACTTCACCAATGTAAATAATTAGGCCAAGGCTTATGAGACCAGCCCATTTTTGTGATTAAGAATAATCTTTGAGATTATTATGATTACAGAAGAGAAGGGGGAAAAACTTCAGGTAGACGGTGACTTTGAAATGGGCAAAAAGAAATGACTGGGTATCTTTTCAGTGGAACAGTAGGTGTCTAACACACCCTTCCGGCTTATCTGACTCTGCAGGGGTCTGCACCATTACCTGAACTACTTTAGAGCTCGGGAAGTTGTAGAAAACTGCTACAACTGCACATGAATCCTGTCCAGTAAAGATGCAACTAACTGCCATGCCCCAACCCTCCCATGGAAGTAGATGTGATTCTACTTACAAATTCATTTCCACATTTTCCATTGCCTATGTATGTTATCTACTCTTTGGATTTTCCTTAGAACTGGCTGTACTATCTTAAATTCCTATATTAATTAATGATTAATATAAAATCTTTGGCACATAGTCATTTAATGTTTTTATTTTTTTTATATTTTAGAGAGAGAGGAAGAAAGAGAGAGATGAAAACATCGATGTGAGAGAGAAACATTGATCGGTTGCCTCCTGTACACCCCCTACCAGGGATCGAGCCCGAAACCCAGGCAAGTGCCCTGACTGGGAATCAAACCAGGACCTCTCATTCCATGGGACGGTGCTCAGTCCACTGAGCCACACCAGTTGGGCTGGCACACAGTCATTTAAAAAAAATCAATTGGTTTCTATCTGTCCTGGTTGTTATTTCTTTTCTTTTTTTTTTTTATCCTCACCCGAAGACATTTTTTGTTGTTGTTCAGGTAGAGAGGAGAGAGAGGAAGAGAGAGAGAGAGAGAGAGAGAGAGAGAAACATCGATGTGAAAGGGACACATCGAGTGGCTGCCAACCGCACGACCGACCAGGGCCAGGGACAAACTGCAACCAAGGTACATGCCCCTAGCGGGAACTGAACCCGGGTCTCTCAGGACCGCAGGCTGATGCTCTAACCGCTGAGCCAAACCGGCCAGGGCTGGTTGTTATTTCTTATATTTTAAAGTATGAAATGCCTCCTCGTTGGTGTGGCTCAGTGGATTGAGCATCGTCCCATGGACTGAGAGGTCCTGGTTCAATTCCTGGTCAGGGTACATGCCCAGGCTTCGGGCTGAATCCCCAGTAGGGGGCATGCAGGAGGCAGCTGATCAATGTATCTCTCTCACATCAATGTTTCTATCTCTCCCTTTCTCTCTAAAAAATCTATAAAAACATATTTTAAAAAAAGGTATGGAGTGCCACCATTTTGACAATCAGGCGTGAGAAGGAAAATCTCTAGTTGAACAGACTCGTAACCCTGTGATTTGAACTACATTTCATTTGTTAAGGCATCCTGATACACATCACAACATAAGCTCCAGAAAGAACTGCACTGCCACTCATAGCTGTCAGCAAGCAACATTCTGCAACAAATACATACTTTATGGAACTCCAGTACTTCTAACATTCCAACAAGAAGAGTGGAACACAGTGATGAATGCTGGATTCCAAGCTTTGCAATAATGCCATTCAGGGACTTTTGATTTAAGGATTCAAAATACAATCACCTTGCAGTTAAACACAAGGTGAGAGAACATTCCCAGGTTCACAGATTAAGGGTTATAAAGAACAAAATATACCTTTTTCTTGCATTTATGTTTCATCTGACATCCCTGTAGCATTGACACTAGAAAGCAATTCAAACTGGTTATTATTTCGTGGATGAGTGCTCTATGTACTGCAGTGCAAATGTCCTTAAGACCGAGTAAAAACCCCCCCTTCCACAACCACTGGGATCTGCCATCGCAAAGACTCTACTTAGCAAGGTGGCTTCATTTCCTCTTTCACCAGCCCTATAGGTAACAGGCCCAGCTACATACTCTGGGGGGGCCCAGTGCAAAATGAAAATATAGGGCCCCTTGTTAAAAATTTGTTAGGAATTACAAGACGGTGACAGCGGAGCATTAAACCAAGTATGAGGATGTTCTAAACTTGAGGTCTTGTGTGACTGCACAGGTTGCATGCCCAGTGAAGCTGGTCCTGTGTCTGATGCTCTTAAGAAAAAGGGTAGAGATTTTTTCAGGCACGGGCTAACAGCTGCCCAAATGTCAACTTAGGCCCTCTTCCATCCCCTAATAGTAGGGGGTAGTTAAATGTGTAGCATCTTTCATTTCTGATGCAAAGTTCTAGGTTTCTTGGTGAAGATTTAATCTTGCTCTCTTCTATTCAGAACTCCCATATTCGTAAGTTTTTTAAACCTCAAAAGACCAGAAAGGCTTGTGTGCAATCCACCCCTGAGGCCTCCCAGATAACATACCTAGGGTTATCCCACACCAAAGAGACCAAAGAAGGATTTGTCTCGCCAGGAATCTTTGGAATGCAGCCAGTCTGAACCTCCAGCACCGGTCTGGGAACACTAATTTAAGCATCAGCAACATTTTGCTGTTTATTGGCTAGGGTGGAAGTTCAGATTAGCCACTGCCCCCGTCCACTTGCAGTCTCTTGAAAACACTGTATTTAGCCATGCAGTTCTGTTTGGGTAACCTCCTGATCCTGAGAACTACAAGAAGCTTTTTATCTCCTAAGATCCAAATCAAGGTGACTTCCCTGTGAGGCCTCCCACTTTCAGGCAAAACTGACACACTGTCCCACCTTACTTTCAAACTTCTAGCACAGCTCCATAGAGGCAGGGACTACTTGGTCACCTTAGTGTCCTAGGTGCCTAATACTGTCTTGTATGTAGTTGGAGCTCAGTAAACATTTATTGAATGTATTATGAATAGAGGGAGTAGGTGTATGTGGCAATATTTCCATGGAAAAGCTACAATTAGAGAGAAAGGAGAAAGCTTAATTTTTGAAGAATTATAATTTTTATTAACAAGAATTAATTTAGCCCTGGCCGGTTTGGCTCAGCAGTTAGAGTGTTGGCCTATGGACCAGAGTCCTGGGTTTGGTTCCCGCTAAGGGCACGTACCTTGATTGTGGTTTGTCCCCGCCCCGGCTGGGGTCATGCAGGTGGCAACCAGTTGATGTGTCTCTCTCACATCGATGTTTCTATTTCCCTCTCCCTAAAAAGTAAATCAATAAAAACATAGTAAAAAAAGAAGAAACTGGAGAACCTCTTAGTTTAGGTTTCATTTCTCTGGGACTGAAACTGTACGTCAGCTTTACAGCTTTTCCTCTTTAGCTACTTCTCTAACACTAAGCTCGATCACTCAAATGATTATTTGTGCAGGGCCCTCCAAAACTGAAATAGTTCAATAATCCTAAACTGTAGATTTAACTACTTAGGAGACTGTTTTAAAACCACTGTTTCCAGACAGATTTTAAAGGAAGGGCTCTTGTTGCTTAAAACCAGTCAGTTCATGGGAACACACTAACAGTTACTCATGGAGGTCTGCAGCCGCTCTCGGTATCACTTGGAAAACTTTGCAAGTTAAAAACCATTTTGATTAGAGTGTACAGCACATCTACTGTTCCTTTCTGCAGCACAACCAGACACTGCCCCCAGGAACTGTGGGCAGCACAGCACAGGACAAATCAGTGTGGCCCGAGGTTCCCCAGCAGAGAGCTGCCAGGGATGGGAGGCCTGCTACTATTCAGATGCCCTCAGCTCCAGACTGGTGACCGGAATCTCCAAGGGCAGGGCCCAGGAATCTAAACCAATTCCTCCGTGATGGCCAAGTTTGAGACCTGCTCCAAGGAAACAAAGCATTCTCAGCTCTTCCTCTCAGGCCCCAGAAATCTGTCCTGAGGAAGAGAGCCTATGTGATCAAGGCAAGCATGCGATCAGTACTGGAAGTGCAAAAGGTACCATGTAAGGAAGAATGTTCTCTCTCCCCTCTTCCTTCAGCTGTGAGGAATCTTGAAGCCACATTTCACTTCAATTATAGAAATTCTGTAGGCCTTCACGGCTTATACTTTTAAGCTCTTCTTTCATGCTCAAATTTTTACTCTTATATTCTCCCTGGTTCTAACTTTTACCTTTTATTTATTTGCTGCCATTATTTTACTTTATGGTTTCTGTAAGCACTCTCAAATCCCCTATCGAATAAAATGGGGTATAAATAAAATAAACATACTTAGGCACCGATATAAATCAAAGTGGTCATTATTGGTTTTCCTGTCTGTTCCTTCCCACGCTAAGATCTTGCCATAGTGACGGAACTGCACTCCTTCGTCCCAGCTTTCAGCTGGGAATCTTGCTCAACAGTTCTTTATAAAGCACCAGCAGCCTTACTTGTGTCCCTGGAGCTCGATGGCAGTTCCTTTTCTCCCACCGATGTCCCACATGATTACAGAGTGATCCGAGCTGCCCGAGAACAAAACTCGCTGGACGGGGTCCCAACAGAGAGCAGTCACCCCACCTGAGAGACCAGACACAACTGAACATTAGTCACAGAGTAACAATAGTATTCACCATTAAAATGTGAATCCATGAGTTACATCTAGTGTAGTTCCTGGCATACGATAACATTTTTGTTAAAAGAACAAATGATAAATCCCAGAAGAGAAAAAAAAATTGGCTCTGAGAATACAAATTCCATAACTTTAAAGCACTTTTTCCAAAAATTAAATACACCATAAAATCAATTTCTATAAAGATCAAAGAGAAATGAAAAAGACAATTAATTGATCTTTAAACAATAGACATAATTCTAAGAAGAATGGAAAATATTGAAAGGTTTGGAAATATTAGACATATTTTATTTTAACTGCTGTCTACCTACTACCCCCACAATAATAGATGAGAAGTTATAGGGTTTGAAAGCTCAATTAGATTTTTTAATCGAGTATCAGCTATAATTAAGAATATGAAAAGTACTCATGTTTTATATCATTGAAAAATACTAAAATGTAAAGTTCTTTTTTAAAAAAGAAACATACTATATTTCAAAAAGAACCTAAAATACCTTATTTGTTGCAAACCATTTTTTCTTCTTTAGATTATCAATTTGTTCTAATGAAGTGCTGCATTAAAAGGTCTTAGGAAAGTTTCTCTTATATAATTGTGTGAGAAGATTTTTTTTTTATATATATATATTTTTTTATCCTCACCCGAGGACATTTTTCCATATTTTGTTCAGATAGAGTGGGAGGGAGAGAGAGAGAGAGAAACATCAACGTGAAAGGGACACATCGAGTGGTTGCCACCTGCACGACCCAACCAGGGCCGGGGACAAACTGCAACCGAGGTACGTGCCCTTAGCGGGAACCGAACCCAGGTCTCTCTGGACTGCAGGCCGACACTCTAACCACTGAGCCAAACCAGCCAGGGCAGGAGATTTTTTTTTTCAAGATCAAAGTGAAAAAATTACCCACTATTTTGAATATTTAATAGCTTTTTCTGATACCTGCACAGCACTCTGCTTATATGTATTTCTGTGTAAGTAATTAACATCACTTTCCCCAGTGCACATGTGGTAAACACCCCCTGCAGCTCCCATCTCCTTTCCCCTCTCCATTTCCTGCCCCTCCACTCACCCTTTCACACATACACACATACCAGTACCAAGCACACAGACAGCAGCAGACAGGCCCTAATATAGCTGTTGCATGAATGAAGGAGCAGATGAATGAAAACACAAAAAATATAATTTTTAATCCATAAATCTTATTTGGACCCCTTGTGATACTTAATTAGCCTTTCAATACTAAATATTTCCTCCTTCTGTAGAATTCATCTTCTTTCCCTGCTATTAAACTCCATGATTATACTTAAAAAAAAAATCGTTCGGTATTTGGTCATGTAATAGTTTAGAATATGCATTCTATTCTGCAAAACATGTTATTTATTTCCACACAGTACCCAAATGACTTATTTTGTTAAATATCTGTGGTGGAGTTAGCTAACTGTCCGTAACCTTATATTCCCCCACATAAAGAGTACTCCCTGGAAAGGACCATATTTACCAGGTCCTCTTACATGCAGGGGGCATGGGCCCAGTTCTCAGCAACAGGACCCCGGAAGGAACCCAGAAAGTATGTGAAAGGAATTTGCATCTCCTCTAAGCTGAGGCAGTTAAGATGTCCCTTTTCCATTTTCTCTTTATACTTTTCCTGGAGGACTCCAAGGCCCCATGGCAGGGAGGAAAATGCATTCTAGGAGGAGCCTGGGTCCCTGAATCACCATATGGAAAGAGCTGTAAATTAACAACAACTATACTGGATTGTTACACGAGTGAGAAATAAACTTCTGCTGCATTAAGGCACAGAAATATTGAAAATTACTTGTTAGAGCAGTTAGTAGTACCTTTTACAATGCCATATATTTTTGGACTATTATAATAAGTCCCGCCCAAGAGGAAGGTGAGAGTCACTAAAAGCTTCATAGATGTCATACAAGTGAAAAGAAGTTACTATTTTAGACTGTTAATATTGATGCCTAATATTTAAACAGAATTTAGCCTCCAAAGCAATCCATCATAAACTCTGAATTGGTTTTTCCTCCAAAATATATCTAGAATCTAAGCACTTCTCACTGTCTCTACTGCTATCTTTGTATGAGCCACTATCCTACAAGGAAAATTAAGAAGCATGACACACACTTTGTTGTTAAGGCTATGGAAGAAAACACTCTCATACACTGCTGATAAGAATGCAAACCAGTAAAGTGGGGAAGGTCAGATCTAACAAAACGACATATGCACTTAGCTTTTAATCCTGCAATCTCAGTTGTAGGAATTTATCTTGAAAATACTGTCCCCACTTCCACCAAATAATACAAAAACATACATGCACAAAGCTATTAGTTTCAGCATTGTTTTAAATAACACTGGGAACAGCCTAAATGCTCATGTAAGAGAGTGGGAGAACCAACCATGCTACACTCACACAGAGTACTATGCAGTTGTGAAAAGAATGGGGGATCTCCTGGATGGACAGAAAGTGATTTCAAGGATGTAAACTAAAGTGAAAAAGACAAAGTGCAAAAGAATTCTCTACATTATGCCACCTTTTACCTAAGAAAGTAAGGGTACATGAGAAATTAAAGAAACTTATTAACAGCAGGTGTGTGGGAAAGGCTGAGGAATGGGAATGGAGAAGGGATGAAGGAGAATGATACTTTCCATAGTACATTTTTTAGTTTGGTTCTGAGTTTTAGAACCACATATATGTTTCACATACTCAAAAACAAGTAAATAATTAAAATCAACTAGGAGTGTGTGTATGTGTTGGACCCAAAATAGAATATACAGTAAATAGAAACAAATAAACCTAGCTGTATTACAAATGAATCATACCACCACACTAAAGCAGGGCAGGGGGAGAAAAGATAAAAGGAACTTTGGAAAATGGTAATAAGGCTAAATATAAAAAAATTTATACACAAAAATAGTATTCTAGCCTGGCGGGTGTGGCTCAGTGGTTGAGCGTCAACCCATGCACCAATAGGTCGCTGGTTCAATTCCTGGTCAGGGTACATGCCCATGTTGTGGGCCAAATCCCCAGTGGGGGGCATGCAGGAGGAGGTCAATCAATGTTCTCTCTCATAAATATTTCTTTTTTAAAATTTATTTTTTATTTATTGATTTTTTTAAATCCTCACCCAAGGATATTTTTCCATTTATCTTCAGATAGAGTGCGAGGGAGAAAGAGAAACATCGATGTGAGAGAGACTCATCGACTGGTTGCCTCGTGCAGAACTCCGACCAGGGCCGGGGACTGAACCACAACCAAGGTACGTGCCCTTGACCAGAATTGAACCCAAGACTCTTTGGTCCGCAGGGCAATGCCCTAACTGCTAAGCAGAACCAGCCAGGGCTTTCATAGATATTTCTATCTCTCTCTCTCTCAAATCAATAAAGAAAAAAAAAAATAGTACTCTAATTAGGAGGTTTGTACTTCACTTCACAGGGGTATGTGTTATATAGGTTAACAATTCTGAAAAGGATTAACTAAATAAATGCATTGAGGACGAGAGCTGAGTTTCTCACTATTATAATAGGAGTTACAAATAAGAGGAGGGTTGGAATGATCTCTCTGGTGTTAGACTGGACTTGTTAGTATGAAATCACAAAGAATATAGGTATAGATGTACAAATTTTTTAACTTTGTCTACTGAGAGACCCTAGAAGCAATGAGCACACAGAGCACCCAAATTTTGGCTTCTAAATACTATTCACTAATAGAAGGAAGAAGGGCTGTTTGGATGGCTGATTCTAGGGCTAAGGCAAGCAGAGTACAAGCTGAGCCAAGAACATCATGTGGTACCAAAAACTAAGATGTGCTAAAAAAATGATGGAGATGTGAAAAAGAACACAGAGGCTGATGTGAAGAGGTTCCCCATGGCCAAATTTGGGACAATTTGAGCACCAAAATAAATAAATGGTAGTACAGGGTCCTCACACAGAAATTAGTAAGAACTTGTGGGCCTATTCCAATATAAACAATGAAATAAATAAATAAGGAAAAAGTGAAAGTTTTTCCTTATAGTACAATTCCAACTAAAATGTGTATAAGGTATAATGATAATAGAAAAAACAATTTGGTAATCACCACAGTCATTTTTGTTTCTGGTAAGAATCATCAATGGACACTAAAATTATAGGGAAGAAATATAATAAGAAACAGAATATTTATACAGTTTTGAAATATTTCCTCATAAAATACTTATGAATTACAAAGGGTAATCAAAATGGAGAAACCTGGCAGACATATACCCTAACCAAACGATCAAAGTTATCGTCACCAGCCCAGCCAGTTTGGCTTAGCAGTTAGAGTACTGGCCCACAGAATTGACCTTCGGGTTTGAGTCCGACCAAGAGCATGTACTTCAGTTGAGGTTCGTCCCTGGCCCTGGTTAGGGTCATGTGAGAGGCAACCAATCAATGTGTCTCTCTCATATCAACGTTTCTCTCTCTCCCCCTCTTCCCCTTCCACTTATCTAAAAAAAAAAAAAAAAAAAAATCAATGGAAAAACAACCTCAGGTGAGGATTAACAAGAACAAAAATTAATGAAAAGTAAAAATAAAACAAACAAAAGAGCCTAGGACTATTATAATAGCCTCCTACAAGGTTTCTTTGTTTCCACTCTTCTATTGTCCATTCTCTACAGAGTAGCCAAAGTAATCACTGAAGAACACAAAGCAGATTATGACACCCCTTGCTCAAATCACTCCTGTGGTTCCCATCTACTCAGAGTAAAGCCCAAAGTCCTGTTCACAGCCTTTCACGACCTAGCTCCAGGCCCTGTCACAGGGCTTCCCCTCTACTCCCTCCACTCGTCACACTGGCTTGCCTGATGTTCCTTTATCATTCCAGACTCATTCCCACCTCAGGCTCTGTGCCCTTGGTTGCCTCTGCTTGTGATTATTTTCCCCTAGACCACCACTGGCTCATTCCCTCAATGATGCAAGTTCCTGCT